CACACACACACACACACACACACACACACACACACACACACACACGGTATATAGGTTTTAATTTACCAAAAACTTACCTCCAGGAAAGTTGCATCCTATCCCCACAATAGCTATTTCAATCTCAGATGTCATATTTATTTTTATTTATTTTTTAATTTATTTAAATAAGGTGATCATCCTGTAGAAAACAGAATTACCAATATGTACATTTAATTTGTCACTTTATATATTGAGTTAGAAATATAAATAATGCTCTGTACTGATATTTATCAAAAGAATGTTCTAAATTATATCCCCAGTGAAGAACATTTCTGACTGGAAATGTACAGATAAATAATCTCTAACACTGCAAATATAAAAAAGATGGCATGCAAACTACTTTTAAAATACTGTACAAACAACAGATATGTAATTAATACATTTATCTTTAGAAAAAGTTTCAGTCAGTAGTCAATATCTTATTGCTTAGCATAGTAAATTGCACTGGAGAAGGCCCTTTGAATCAATGGAAATTTAGTGAATCAACTCCTCTGTAAGTTCCATGGATTCAGATGGATGTACTACTGATATAACCATTACTTAACATTATTTACTAAAGTAAATGACAGTTAAAGTAGATCCATTTGAATCCATGGACTCACCAAATCCTCACTGATTCCATGGGCCTATTCTGGTGAGATTTTCTACTCTAAGGAACAGGATTTTCTGCAATGTGTTCTAGTGTTCTTAACCAATGACTCTACATTACCTACACCTGTTACTTAACTTCTAAAACATTAAGAGAACTCTCAGTATAATAAAGGATATGGACATGAACATTACCACAGGGAAATATTTGTATGATACTCATAGGGCAAAACCCAGCTGGTGTAAGGTTATGTTATGGAAGCAGGATGATGTCATCATCTGATAAAATTTTTAATTTAAATAAATTGAAACCTCCTATCTCGCTGTTTCAGATTTCAAGGTGCCCTTGGCCTTCCTTTTGCCTTAAGATGGTGAGATGAAGACCTTCAATAGTCAAATATTGCAGCCAGATCACCACTGCTGGGATTGGGACCACCACCAGAAATCTGGTGGTATTTTTTGACAACCAAAGTATTTTTTTTCCTCCAGAGGCCCTGGATTTTTTTTTACTGTATGTAGATTCTAATTGATGTGCTACATCAGTTATTTAAAAAATAAAAATATTTTCTTTGCCTTGTCTTATAGGGTCAGTCAAGAAACCTCCCACAGTCAAATCCATGGCAGTGGCTCCTCTATCGGCCCTTTTAAAGAAGGCAAAGAAAGTATTTCACACACACACACACACACACACACCAAATGATGCAGCACATCAGGAATCCTCAATATACAGTAAAAAAAAAGTTTCCCCCCATTTCCCTTGTCCTCTGCAAAGGAGGGAAGTGATTAATTTGCCAAAATCAAGAGGTGGCTGACTTATTAAGCCACTTCACAATATTGGCTGTTGGCATTTCTGTTTAAACAGTCAGGTTTAATTAGATCCTTCTGATCAAGTCCGGCAATTCTTTAGCAGCCCATACTGGCTTACTCCCTTCTAGTGTAGCTGTACACTTACGAAGGAGGGAATCAGCTTTTTTGCATATCACAAAATCCCCTAAAAATTGCAATATACTAAGAGGACGGCAGGTGGCCACCAACAGGTAACCTGAGCAAGCCAGCATGTTATGACTCGGAACAGAGAGAATGAGAATGAAGATCTGTGGTGTTGGCTGAGGTAAACACACAGGACTAAGTTGGCATCTAGTTTCTCGCTGAGAGAACACATGGAGCCCCACGGACAAGAGTGAGGTTTTGAGTGGCATATTGCACGTCTGTCGGACTGTTGTGGAGTAGAGTAGCTTTTTGTGGAGTAAAGAGGCTTTCTGACTGCTGCACTCCGAGGGGAGACTTCTGAGGCCTCGTATTTGGATACGATGACATCTAAACTAACCTCTAGTGAGGTAAGAAGGCCATGCCTGAAGACTCCTGAAGCAGGAAGTGAAAACAGCTGAATGTAACATTATTTGTAACAAATAATATGAGTAGAGTAAGTTCCTGCGAACAGGTTTGATACGCTTCCAAAAGTAGAAGAAAATTAAACCTGGGAGTGTTTTTCTCTGTCAAACTAACAGCCCAGCCTGCCTTTTAATGTAAAATGGCCAAGCTGTCATTTTTTTACATAAAACCTATTTACCAGTATCAACAATGTCATGTACAAATACCTTGGCTATTTCCCATTGAAAGACAAATCAGGATTTATATGTTTCTCCAAACCTGTGGAGGGATTTTTCCACAGGCTTACTACACTCAAATTATTTCTTATAAATAACATTCAGTTCAGTTCTTCTCATTTGATGGCTTCAAGAGTCTTGGCTAACCATGTGTGACATTCTTACTACATTAAAATTCTCTTCTTTTATTTGTTGTTCTCACCCACTTATTGTTGGCTTTTGATATTCCCTTGGACTCCTTGTCACTTCAAATACTTAATTTATTTGTTAGTTACATTTACCAGTGTACCTGGCCATTCCATCAGTGAGTGGCTACATGGTTGTCTTCCGCCTCAGTTTTTCCTGACAACAATCCTGTGAGGTAGGTCAGTTAGTTGAGAAAATGACTGGCTGAAAGGCACCCAGTGAGTTTACAGGCTCAGTCAGGTCTTAAACTTGGGTCTTATAAGTCTTAGTTATCAAGCTTTATGGCTCTGAACATTAAATATATGGGAACTCATTTTGGCCACACTGTTCTCCTTTCTGGTGCAATAACCAGTACTGCAGGACTAAGAAATCAAGACTTGATTTTCGTTATTCTCTTTTCTTATAAAACCTATAAGAGAACAGCCTGAAATAATGACAGAAGTATAGTCTACTGTATTAATCTATAATACACTCCTGTACAGAATGTAAAACACAATCTGACGGATAGTATTAGGTATTGGTAGTATCTAATATATCTATTGCAATACTATGATCTGGTAGTATTAGATATTGGGAAAGGGAAGTAATGTACTACTAGTTATTTAGAACTTATTTAGAACTAATTAGAACTTGTTACTTTTCTTTCTATTTCCTTAGCATTTCTGCTCAGTATTGTTTCAGCCATAAATAGCCTGTTTCAGTTTGTTTGCCTACAAGCAGAAGTATGACATTTACCTGTATATATGACGCTTTTTCAAAACAATAGCAATGAAGACAAACCTAATAAGGAGGAACACAGGTATGAAAATATGCCCTCCACAGTAAAGAATCCTGTTTCAAGGTAAGACCGTTATCCTGTGAAAAAGGTTTCAATTATTTGGAAGGCAAAAAGAAAACCATATCTAGACTAATTTAAGAGGCAATCTTACCACCACAAGACTACATTTAGAATATTTTGTTATTAAGTGTTGGAGCAAATCTCATCCTTCAGGTTTTAATTCCTTTCCCATTTCTGACCAGTGTTATTTCAGCCATAAACAGCTTGCCTTGGCTAGTTAGCAAATTAAATAAGCCGTTGTATTTTTAATGAATAAGGTACTTTTATAAACTGTTGTCCCTGAGCAAAAGAAATCAACAAAAACCCAATAATAACATCATATGTCATCTACTCCAGAACATTAAAATATTTATTTCCAAGACTGAGTCATAATGAACTGTCTCTCAGATTTAAGTCCTGATAATTATGGCCCAATGTATGTTGCATTCCTTTTGATGGTTTCATAGAGAGAGAGAGCCTCTCTCAACAACGTATTTTACACATACATTGTTTATAAAAGTCTCTTTCTCTACTGATATGACTGCCTGTTCTTTATTTCACTTAATTTTGGCCTGATTTATTTGAATGATATTTCTGATTTTAAAACTGACTTTGTTTTGATGTAATGAGTCATCATAACCAGGTAGTTTGTACATGACACAGAGAGATTATTATCATAAACAACATGTGCAAACATTTTACAACAGTTTAGGAATGTAGTAGATCAGCTATGGCTATGAGAGGAAATAATTCCGCCTGTAAAAATGTAATGTAAAAAGTCCCTTCCTGCATTGATGATTAAAAATTTAAGCAACTTAATACTGCATAGCCTATCTCCCACACATGTCTGATGTTTTCATAATACTTGGAATATCAAAGGTACATTTATACATGCAGTCTCTTTCCATTAATGGGCAAAGAAATGATTTCAGGAAGTTTATAAGCAACACATGGAGGGAAAAGCTTTCCTTTGTCATCATGTTGGTATTTATATTTATGGATTACTACTACTGCTGACCTTGAGAAACAATATCCTGAAAAAAAATATCCTAGATACGGAGCCAGTGCCACAGATTTGTTAAGTGAATTATGTTCAATAATTTTAGGACAATGTGAGTTTATTTGCACCGATATGATTCTGGGTCAAAGTTCCTGTAATACTAATGGTTCATGGTTGCGGCCCATGTAAAAGCCTTTGAGCTTTCAAGACTGGTTTTATGTTTGCATGTCTGTAAAACAAATAATCCAGATTGTGCTGCCATTTTCAGAATAATATGCTTTATTAGTATTAATTATGGGCAAATTATTTTCTAGAGTAATTGTTATGCTCCAGCAAGTGAGTATAGTTTCTAAACATATCATACAGAATGAAAGTTATAATCCTGTGCACACTTAGCTGAGACAAAGCCCCCTGAACATCCAATTTAACAGGTTTTGGATTATTTTGCATGTCTCTTTGACTTTAGCGCAGTGTTTTCACATAAAGAAATTGAACAATGCAAGGTATATTCAGTCCTGTTGATTTCACTAGGAAATTGAGCACTCAACTTTCCACTTTAACCTGTGAAACATAAAAATGTTCCACTTGACTGAATTGTGCCCTGTCTGTGATATTTTCAAAAGTACTGCTATAGAAACGGATGTAATGTCTAGCAATAGAATTAAAATATCTTATCATAGACTGATACTGAACTACCTTTGATAAAAACAGCATAGACATGTTGCCAAAAAAAAAAAAAAAAACCTGCTGCGCGTCTGTGTAGGCGTAAAGAAAGCATATATCTTTATTATTTTTGCAAGCAGTGATGTAAAAATAAGATATTATTCATTCTAATTTTGAAAGATCTTCAAATGTACATGCCTTAGATAAGTATGCAAAAACAAATGTCTAATAG